CGGTACAGGCTAACTACTGAAGGGGCCGGGGCGACACAGCCGTCTCATATCTACAGCGCAATACTGACTTTCATCTCCTTACTCATATGACTCGCGTTTATTATCCCTTTGAGTGCGTTGAGACCCACACCGCGTTGGTCACCGCATTTTTTCCCAAAGGGTGACGTGACCCTCACTGTGGTGTGGACCCCAATGTATGGCGTCCCCGACACCCTTTGGCTCCTTGGACATCCCTCTTTTTTTTACGCAACCGGCCGCAACGTGTTATGCTGACTTCTTTGATTGTGCTTTTCATCGCACATTTTAATGCCACTTATTTTTATTCGCTGAGCGAATACAAGGCTACATAGTTAAAACTAGATTGCAATGCGTTTCATGGTTAACAAACTGGGCTCGACTTGAGTATCGGATGCGGAGCTCCCGTCCGAGCCAGAAGACAGAGCGCTCCTTGCTACACACTAAACTCAAATGCTCACCGACGACGCGACGGTGGATCCACTCCATGCTCACCGCATGCCTCAGTTGTAGCATCCACTGTAAAAACAAATTGTTTAAAAAAAAAAGGCTTTAAGTAAAATTACAACCATGGAATTTTTCCACTCACTCATATTTACCAGAGCATGGATAGAACATATATATTGTGACATGGCTGTCAAAGAATTATTGCCAAAGTATTCTAATTTCAAGACAATTTTTTTTACAGTGTGTGGACTTTGATCATTTTTGAATTGATCCTCGCGGCTTTGCTGTCGGAGCGCGGCGCAGCCACCGCCGCCGCTTCCTCGCGCGTACACTACACTACACGCTCGGTCCACAGCCACGCGTCTCGAAGCAGCAGTATCAGATTGTTTGCGCCCGCTCCGCTGGCCGCAGGGCCGGCAGTGCCGCCCCGCCCCGCCCCGGTGCGCGGCAGCCTTTAATCACGGACCTGCGCCGTGCAAATAATACCTGGCTGGGTGCGGCGTGGCGTGGCGTGGTGCGGTTGGACTCGCCTAGAGTGAGACGTTTTTTCCCCCTCTCCATATCTGGCCGGCCCTTTCTGCCTTCTGGTGAACCCGCTGCGGCCGGCCCGCGGCCCGGAGGCGTCCCCCCAGATGCCCTTACGAGGCCCTCTCCATCCTTCTGGGGTCCTCGACCCTCCGGAGTTGGTGCGGTGGCTTTGGTACTGACCGAGAGGGGTCAGGGGTCCCCCACTAGCCAACTCGTTGTACACTTGCCCGCGCCCAACTCGCGTCAAACTCGCAAAAACTTGCGAAAAATAGCGAAAAACTCTTAAAAAATCGATCCCCTCGCGGCAACTTGACAACTCACCAGCTCGTTGTACACCTATTTTGGAAGTGGGGGACCCCTTCGGTACTGACGCTCTCTTCGTCGGTGGTGTTGCAGGCCGACAAGCTGGACGCCCGTGCGCTCAACAACACGAGGCACGCCATGACGGACGTGGTGTTCTTCAACCGCGTGCCCAAGGTGGGCTCGCAGACCTTCATGGAGCTGCTGCGGCGGCTGTCGCTGCGGAACGCCTTCGACTTCCATCGCGACCACATCCAGCGCGTCGAGACCATCCGGCTGGCGCCCGCCGACCAGGTGAGCCGAGCAGCAGCGAGCGCCGCCCGCGGCCCAGCGGCCCGCAACGCGCCGCGCGCCCGCGCCCGAGGGGCTGCCTACCGGCCGGGCGGACGAGTACAACGCTCTCTCTGTTGCAGATGAACCTCGCGTCTATGGTGAGCGCGTACACGCCACCCGCCGTCTACGTCAAGCACGTGTGCTTCGTCAACTTCACCCAGTAAGTACTAGCTATGGGAAAATATCTTCGTACATTTACAACATACACTGAAAAATATCGTCGTAAATTTACCAAAATTTTGTAAACTAGAATTTT